TTTTGGTCAGTACTTTGAGAATCGTTATTGGGAAATCCGTTATCGAATCTGTAGTGTTTTTATTAGCCCTTGTCTTCAATGATCCTCCAGATTTGCGAGACATGCCATGAGATGCCACTCCAATTTATACCCTGGTCATCAGGAAACGGCCTTTACATTTCTAGACCCAAGTTTGCTTCGTGCCTCCTGGCGCCTGACGATGAACTCCTACTTCCTTGAACATTGATGGAGCTGCTAGCCCAACCGCATAGTAATCAAATACAATTCGAAAATAGCCATTTCCTCCAAACCCTAGCTGACGATGTAAATATGGCGAGTAGTTATTAATTCTAACACATCCAGACATTTCAGCAGACGTTCAAACTGTCTATGACTGTCAGAAATGTGAATTGAGCCTTAGCAAACAATTGTCGTCATACAAGCTGACAATGTAGACCAGGAGGTAACTGAAGTTAAGCTCGTTTTCATCACATTCTATATAATGAATGATCTTTCATGTATTGGCTCGCCGTTCTTTGCGTGTATACGTGAAGTGCTAAAACTTAGGTTTGATTTTCTATTGTGAAATGGGAAGAACAGTTCGCGTGGGTGTATGTTTGCTTTTAGCTGCTTCCGTGTGGGCTTAGTGTTATCCGATGAAATGCATTCGTTGATTGTACCCCCGAAGTAGGTTACTCAGTTACTCCCGTTAACTAGCAGTTTGATCAAATACAGACAAGTAGTGATAGAATAAGTGTGTGTGTTCGTCTGACAAGGGATGGGCGAAGATAGGATACCTTAAGTGTGTTTGCTCGTAGATTCTGCCTGGTATGGGGGCGCCCAAGTCATTATCATGTGCTTCAAGTCAATGTCAATATTGACTTGCTAAAGGAAGAACCTGGATTGCAATAATGCACCGACTTTTCAATTAGAGGTGTCTGTTACAGTAATGGTAAAAGTATGTGCTAGAAAAGCATGTTTTAAAATATAAGCAAAAGTGTAACTTTGGTTTGTGAATCAGGCAACAGGTTGGGGTTTTAGAAAGGCGATTGAGTTTGGCATGTGTTTAGCTAATTGATCAGTATCTATATAGAAAGTGCAATTTTTTTTTTCTTTTAAAATCTTTGGGCGGGCAAAAAATAGTCTAGCCACTGTCCATTTTTTGCAAACCTAAACTTTGCCGCAAGCACCCCCCCCCCCATCTACGCCCCCTTCTTCACACCCCACAATATCCCGTGACATGGTTGCGATTATCAGCCATGTATCTACCTATATCCCCTTCATATCTTTGTTGACACAGAAATATTCGTCAGTGAACTTCAAAGCTGCTGGTCTGTTGCTTTTCTCTTTATTATCGGGAAAGTCCTTTTGACACCTATGGAAAGACTGGCCCCCCGGTATCGCCGGGGGGATAAACTGACATCTGGAGACAGATGTCGACTGTGGACCGGGTTGATCACCCCTAACACAGTATAATACCTCCGATTGCGTTAAACCACAAAGAAATATGCCCCCAGGGCCCTCCGAAAGGGGGGGAGAATGAAGGGCCCAATTCGATTGATACCCTCGTTGACGACTTTGCTAGCCCCCGGACTGAGATACTCGCCCAACGTCCGGGCTGGCTCTGTACATGTGGAAAAAGCTTCACGGGGTTGCATGGTCTGAGAACGCATGCCGGAAGAATGAAATGCGAGGGTGCTCCACGCAGTAAACGCCGTCGCAAAACTACTACTCCTGTGGTAGTTTCTGAGTCGTTAGGGAACGACGGGCAGGGGGAACCCCACTCGCCCGGAGAGGCCCATGACGTCGACTGCGGAGGAGCACCTTTGATGATTTCTGAAGAAGTGCGCTCCAGAATCAGGTTTCCACCTGCGAGCGAGAAGGTGGTGTGGTGTAAGTTGGAGGCTACACTATGTGAGATACTTAAACAAACTCTAAACAAGAAGTCGCTAGGCGACAAGCTTACTAAATTTGGTGATGTAATATATGAACACTGCTCCCGCGAGTTCGGGACAGTAGTCAAGGCACAGCCGGGTGCCAAGCAGAATACTAGCAGGAGGCAGAGGGACATTCTGAAGTATCGGGCAGACAAGAATGCCCTCAGAAAACAGTTCAAAGCCGCTACGGGCAGCGAACGGGAGGGGCTGTACGAAGTGTGGGTGCATTTAAAGAACAAACACAGTGCCCTCTGTCGCGCCGAGCGTTTCTGTAACAACAGACGAAGAACTAAAAGGGAGCGAGAGAAATTCTTTAGGGACCCGTATCAGTTTGCCCGAGGTCTATTCGAGCAACCGAAGTCTGGGACTCTGGTTGTCAGTCAGAAAGAACTTGAGCTACATCTAAGCAAGATGTACTCTGATAAGAAGAGGAGAGAGCCTCTTGATGACAATCCAGAGATCCTTAGCGGACTCAAACAGCCTTCGGTGCCGAAGGTACCATTTAAACTGGTACCTCCCCTTTGGTCTGAGGTTGAGGACGTTGTGAAAAAAGCCAGCGGCAAGTCTGCCCCAGGTCCGAACGGTGTTCCGTACGTTCTTTACAAGCGTTGCCCGAAAATCCTAAAAATGCTTCACGTCTTGTTGAGACAAGCGTGGATCCGCAATCACATATGTCCAGAGTGGTCAAAGGCAAATGGGGTCTACATTCCCAAAGAGCAGGACTCGAAGAGTCTTTCCCAATTCAGGCCCATCTCGCTGTTGAATGTTGAGGGTAAGATATTCTTCTCAGTCATGGCTCGCCGGCTCACACAGTATCTGATGACTAACAAGTACATAGATACGAGTGTTCAGAAGGGTGGCATTCCAGGCGTTCTGGGTGCCTTGAACACGCGACCATGATATGGGAGGCTATCCAGAGAGCCAAGCATGAGAGAACCAATTTGCACGTTATATGGTTGGACTTAGCCAACGCCTACGGGGCAGTCCCCCATAGGCTACTGTGGCGAGCCCTGCGCATGTTTCACGTACCGACACAGATCAGTCAAATGGTCGAGCAATATTTCTCTAAGTTCGCTTTGCGCTTCTCTACCTCGACGTTTACCACGAGGTGGACTGAGTTGCAGATTGGGATAGCTATGGGGTGTACGATCTCACCTATACTGTTTGTCATGGCAATGCAGATCATGTTGGACGGGGCGGCCGGCTACGGACTGGGCCTTCAAATAGGGGATCACTGGTTGCCGCCACTGCGCGCATTTATGGATGACACGACTATTATAACGGGCAGCGAGGAGTCTGCCCGCACGATCCTGAATAGATTGGACGCGGTGGTCCAATGGAGCGGTATGCAGTTCAAACCGCAGAAGTCGAGGAGTCTGTCAATCCATAAGGGCAAGGTGTCGGCGACCAGTTTTACGGTGGCAAGGAACAAGATCCCTACGGTTCTGGAGGAACCGGTGAAGAGTCTCGGTCGCGTTTACGATTCGAAGTTATCTGACAGAGCGGAAGTCCGGCGAATACATGAGTCACTGGCTACAGGCCTGCTCGCGATCGAGCGATGCAGGCTGGTCGGGAAATTCAAGGTATGGTGTCTCCAATTCATGTTGATTCCGAAGCTTCTATGGCCACTGCTAGTCTACGAGGTGACGATGACTGCAGTGGAAACCATGGAAAAGAAAATCAATACAGCCTTAAGAAAGTGGATTGGTGCACCGCCTTGTCTGACCGACGTGGCTCTGTATTGTAAACAGGCTAAGCTGGTACTTCCGTTCAAGTCAATAACCGAAGAGTTTAAAGTCGGCAAAGTTAGGCTCGCCATGCTTTTGCGCGAGTCCTCAGACCCAAATGTCATCGCTGTCCAGCCCGCTCTAAAGACTGGCCAGAAGTGGAAGGTCCTCGATGCGATAGGAGCTGCTCAGAACGCACTAAAATTGAAGGAGGTAATGGGTTACACACAAACCGACCGTCGAGGTCTAGGGCACGGGAAAGTCAATTGGTGGTCAAAGGCCTCAGCCAAAGAACGCCGAGACATGGTGATACAAACGGTGAGGGACAACGAAAACGAGATTCGGGTTCAGAAAGCAGCCCAGCAGTCGCAGCAGGGCCATTGGGTCAGCCTGGAGAGCGCATTGCCTAGAATACTCACATGGGGTGAGATCTGGCGGATGACCCCGTTGCGACTGAGCTTTATCGTTCGTTCGGCGTACGATGTATTACCGTCCGGTGTTAACATGGTTAAATGGTCTGCGACCAACGATCCGACTTGCCCGTTGTGCAAATCAAAGCAAACTCTTGAGCACGTCCTGTCCGCGTGCAGGAAAGCCCTAGGTCAAGGCCGCTATACCTGGCGCCACAACAAGGTGCTAAAAGAGTTAGCAGCCGTTGTCGACCAGGCTAGAATGAGGGCTAATGCCAGAGCCAGTTCTAGTATCGTCCCCATTCGTTTCCTCAAGGCTGGGCAGGTTCCAAAAGGTAATGTCAACAAAAACGCATTCGCTCCATCTGTGCTAGACTCTGCGAGGGACTGGTTACTGGCGGTTGATCTGCCAGGACATGAACGGTATCCCGAGTTGATCCGTAAAACCGGCCTGCGACCGGACATCGTTCTCCATTCTGCGCAAAAACGGCAACTCATCCTGATTGAGTTGACGGTCCCGTTTGAGTCGCGGATGGAGGAGAATCATCTGTATAAGCTCGAGAAATACAGTGATTTAGCAGCCGGTTTGAGGAGAAACGAGGCTTACACAGTACGGGTATTTGCCGTCGAAGTGGGAGCGAGAGGCCTCGTTTCCACTTCGCTCTACAATGTGGTTAAAGAGTTAGGATTGCGCGGTAATGAACGGAAACGGGCACTCAAAAACTTGGTGAGGTGGCCGAAAGGGCATCCAGCTGGCTCTGGACGCAGCGCAACAACGTAGGGGACGGGCCTCGGTGAGCTGGTCCGGGTATCTAGTGGAAAAGAGTTTCTTATCCCTTTGAAAAGTCCATCGTGTACGAATTGTCTGCCAGTGTCTCTCTGCCAACTGCTAATAAAAGTCCAAGATGTGTCCGGTAAACCAAAGTAAGCTTGTCGCTCGGTCGTCC